TTATTGGTATTTAACCATTCTTCTGCTTGTTCGGTTGATTCGAAGGAATTCAAGTGACCATTGTAGATGATTATCATCTTAAATGGGAAACCTCATTCAAATTTCAAGTTGTGTTTCTTCAGAATCGATATGATTGGTGCAAAATTATTTCTTCTTTATCATTAAAAGGTATGCCCAATGCTGTAACATATTCTTTTATAATACATCGTATATCTTCCTGTTTAGATTTTTCTTCAAGGTTACGAAATCTTAAATTTCTCCTTCTGGAGCGATCTTCTAAGTCATTTATTTTGGAGTCCATATAGGATAACTTATTTGTCAACTTGATGTTTTCTTTTTTTACAGATTTTAATTGAAATTCCAGATCTCTATATTGTTATTCCATATGCTGAATTTTGTTTGATAATTGATTTAATTTTTGTGTAATTTCTGCTGTATTTGTAGAGATTTATTTTTAATCTCCAGTAATATATCTTGTAAACTAGCATTCAGTAGATCGACCGTTACTTCTTTTTCTTTTCTCATTTCTATTTCTGCAAGATTTTCGTTAGAAAGAGATTCTCTAGTGGATACATTTGCTTTTTCTTTTAAATTTTGTGGTGAAAAACATATTGAGAGACTTTTATCTTGTTTTTGTTCCTTTTTGCAGTTGTTTTAAATTCCTGTTGTTGTTTTTTTAGTAGCCATTTGTTAATCGGTTCTAGGTTTTCTCTTCTTCCCCTTTTTTCTTTTCTTCTCTCTTTCTTGTCTGTCTTTCTATTTTCCTTACTTCTTCTCCTTTCCATTTTTCTGTTTTTTCCCCCTCTGTTATATACTCTTCTTATCCGCCTTTATATTTTTTCCTTTTCTTTTTTTTCTCTTTCTTTCCTTTTATTTTTTTTATATCAATCTTACTTCAACTTTAGCCTTTAACCATTGATCGTTGTAACGGTTTTTCAGGTATCTATATAGTCTGTTTTTTTTTGCTTCCTATATTTGATATTTTTAATTGTACCCCTTAATGATAAAGAATCAATATGTAAGCAAACTAAATCAGGAGTTTGTTAGGGTAAGGTCATTTCATCCCTAGTTGTCAGGAGTCCTTATAAAAATATATATATTGTTAAAACTTAACGTTTAATTATATATGCAAAACATAAAAAAAATAACACCCAAAATACCAATTTTTCACCAAGTTTTCACAAGTGTAAATTTTAATAGCAAGAAAATAAAAAAACTCACAAAAAAAACCAAACAAAATAGCTGGATACAACTGAGAGGTGAATGCTCTATAAAATAAAATGTTGTCAAATGGAAAGACCAGAAGGATGTAATATTTGATCTAACTCTATAGACTTTGACAGTTATGTCAGGTAGATCGGACAGAAAAGTGCTGTCCTCTACTGGTCAGACTAGGTATCAGAATGCTGTGAGGTCTGTTGTAGCAGAAAGAGGGGGGAAACGCTCTACTAAATAGTGAAATATATAGGACCAATGCCTTATTAAATATGTGCAATTAGCTAGTTATCACTGTTGGTGTATTATGCCTATTTGTAGGGGGTATTACTGTTGCCAATATTCCACTTAGAGATGTATCTAAGAGACTCTTGTTAAAATGGTGAATGTGTATCAATTTAAAATATATATATATTTTTTGGAACCTTTTGTACACACTGTTTCAAAGTAGGACTTTAGATTAGTTGTGTTAGTCAGTTTGCACGATACAAACATGGCAATGTCAGAGAGAGGGAATGCGTCAGGCTGATTTTCTGATAAGATAATTTTTACAATATTTTATGCCTATTTATACATTCCTTTCTCCTAGATGCCTCAGATTCAATATTGCAACGAAAGGTCTCTACTTGTTCACTGCTACTTGATTTAGTACGTGGAACATGCCTATACCGTTGTTTAGGGGCATTAGTGATTTGAGGGTCTCTTATGAGATCAAGTGGAATATAGCAGACAACATACAGCTTTATGATTTTGGTCTGCTTACTGCCTAAATATTTTTTTTCGGGAACGTTCTATCCCTAAACCTTTACAATCAGCATGATAGAACGATGTCAGGCTAAAACAGCTTTGTGGTCTGTGTCTGATTTCTAAGCGGTCCGGTTACTTACAAGAGCATTATATCCCTAAACGGTGCACTTTATACCTGCCGGTTTACCCAATTTTTACACCATTTTGAAAAGCTACTAAGTGCTCTAAGTCTGATAAGCAGCTAGACTTATAAGTCTGTAAGCAAAAGCATGTTGGTCTACACACTTTTCCAATGGCTTTGTGCACTAAGTCTGATAGCTAGCTCGAGAATTTTAGCCCAAGAACATTTTCTCATGCTTGATTTAATTTATAGATTCTATAATAGAATAGTCTGATTACTGGCTCTGTATTTATTGCAGAAGCATGAAAGCCCCTGACACGCGTTTCGACGTGCAGCAACCTTTAGCCTCACAGATCATCAGAATGGAACCGGATCAGAGGAAAAAGCCGGTATTTAAAAGGGGGAGCTGTTTCTCCATTGGGTTGTTTGAATTGATAATGTCCAGTGGGAGCTGATGACCGTACATGAGTTACTGAGACATTTATTAACCCTATGTTTGCAGGAAACAAATTTTCACTTCAAGTCAGACCGCCGGGGGGAATGCGGTTTTTAGACCTGGTGTGTCATTTGTCGTGAGCATTGATGTTTTCCTGTCCGCCTATCAATGGATTGTATAGTGTGATGCCAGTAGCTCTGCCCTAACCATTCCGTACCATTTCCTATGGACCTACATCTGAAGGGAGCTCAGGAATGGTGCAGTTTGGTTCGCTTGTATGGTCCACTTTCATTATGGAAACACTCAAAATAGCGTACCAGACAGTACCGACCTGAACCGTACCGCTCAGTGGAAACGAGGCAGTGTATAAATGGTGTAAAATGTAATTCTTCGTTCAAACCCCATAGGGGCTAACATCAGGAACTCATGTATCCATTTTGATTCTTCAATAATCGAATATTGAAGTCACCTTTTCTGGTATTTGTAGTGATTTTTTTCAATTGCTTGAAATTTTAAATGAGATGGATGCCCATCATGGAATCTTTGGGTGTGATTAAATATAGGGGTTGACAGGTTTGGGTTAGTAACTGAATGTATATGTTGGAGAATTCTTCTTCTCAGTTGCTGATATGTTTTACCTCCATATTGTAATGTGCAGCTGCATGTTATGATGTATACTATTTGTGTAGTGCTGCAATTGATGAAATCATGTATTGTGTATTTATTTTTGGTTCTGAAGCACTCAATTGTCTTGGAGGGCTTGATGAACTCACACCTTAATGATAAAGTCACCAGAGACTTAACTCTGGGATAGGCAGGAGAGTAATTACTATTTGAGTTTAAAGAAGTCCCATTACTCTCAGTCAGACAAACTTCAATATGCAATCACCACATATTATGCACAATGAATCTTGGCTTAATTTATCAAGCTTAATTTATTCCAATTCTCCTGAATATTACAAATTCAGCTGCCACTCAAATTTGTACAGGTGATGGAGAAAGTCTGCCCTGTTGTCTATACCGGGAACATAAACTGCAAAGACACCCAAAAGATGTTTTATGTATACTCTATCATAGGAGAGATCTCTTGAAACATATGCCGACTTGTGGTGCCATCTTAATTGTTGACATTTGAGACAGCTGTCCTATTGTCTATCTTCATTTTTACCCAATGTCCTGAAAGCTCCTGTTGAAAATGAAGAAGAACCAGGTATGCTGTCCTCATTTCCAGAATATTCCCTGGAGCTCTGGAAAAGGGTTTCTTCCAAGTCCCTTGAACATTACAATGCTCCAGATGTGCTCTCCAACCTCGTTTGCTAGCATCTATCAACCAAATCACATCTTATGAGAGGTTCTTCTCTTCCTTTTACTTCCTGTCCTTAACAGACAAATGGGCAGAGCTAGCCCTATGTTAATGCTGCCATGGATTGGCCAGGAAATACAAATATTCAGAGATAAAGTATATACATCAAAATATTACACCAAAAACATTATATGTAAGGATAACGTAATGCACTCATTTAGATAGGGACTCTCAGGCTCACTAGCCAAAAAAGCAAACAGAGATGGAGGTATATATTCCTCTATGCTGCCCCTTTAGGATATATAAAAGAAGACACAAAACAAACAGAAAAAGCCATCACCAAAAAAATGAATAAACCTATATAAAGTAATCATATCATGTCTGAAGCTTATATATATATATCCTCTATTTCCTGGACAATTCATAGCAGGCCTGAGGGTTACTAGCTAAATGATGTTTTGATGTCATAATCTTATGATGTATATACTTTATTTCTGAATATTCTTATTTTCTGTACGGTTTTGTTTATATTTGGAACCATGATCTGTATTACATAGGTATTCTTGTCTTTGTGCATGTATCCTTAGGGCTTGCACTTTGTGCATTATAGACTTTATTTCCATATTCTTTTATTTTTATCATTCCAGTGCCTGTTCAGCTTCAGCATGCGTTTTTGACCCTCCTGGGATGCATTAGTTTTCAATTACTATTGCCTCCTACCATTGCCATGGTAACATGTTGATCACGTGATGACAACCGAGCACTGCAATCAATAGAATCAGAATTAGTTTCTAATTGATTTTGGGGTTCCAGAGGCTCCAAGCCTCCATTTGATGCCTGATTCTGTTAGTTTGCCATATGACTATTTGCGGTTTGTGGGAGGATTAAGGTCACATCTTATATAGTTGGGTAAGAGTTTCTGCTGTGGTAAGGGCATTTCAAAGTAGAGTACTAAGGTGCATCAAAATCTTCAGGACTGCGCAGATTTTATCTTATTTTGGATTACACTTAAATTTAGATTCATTTTGTAATTTTTAAGGTTTACTCCAACCACTTCTGCTTTTTGAGGTGTTCATTGTCATTGGAGGACACAGCATGCCCTAAAACTAATGGGGTTAAACAAGTGCATAGTAGGGATAAACAAATGCATAAAATAAGGAGGGTCAATTTTAGCACAAAGTTCATTAAACATACAAGACATAGTTTTTAATAGTAAACAGATGAAACAGATGAAAGGAGGCAAAAATTCAACCATGCCACTAGAAGTGGCGTTTAACAAAAATACATATTACTCTGCTTTTGTACTTTGTAAGGATAAGCAATAGATATTCTCTGTCAAGGTATCTTAACAACTGCCTGAAATTCTTAGGTTTTTCTTCTTAACTGACTCTATAGTGTTGTATACTTGTGAGCAGGTTTTGTGCTAACCTATTAAAACTATGGAGAATAGAGTAATAGGTAACCTATCATTAACACTCAGGGGCGTACCTAGAGAATTTGGCACCCGGGGCAAGTCCTCGTTATGGCACCCCCCACTTTAACCCCTTAAGGACCAAACTTCTGGAATAAAAGGGAATCATGACATGTCACACGTCATGTGTCCTTAAGGGGTTAAAATTTAAAAATAAACACCTACAATTCTTTAACATATGTAGCACTTAGAGTTTGTACGTTTTAATGTAAGCATGTTTTTGTACGGAAAATATGTGATTGAATATAGGGGTGTGTTTGTATGTAGTGTTGGTAGATGATGCAAGCATGCATTTGTGTGTAGTGTTGGCAAGATGCAGTGCCGTGATTATATATAATGGTGATGTTTTAATACAGAGGTGTGTTTGTAGTGTTGTTTGCATGCAGTGGTGTGATTGTGTGTAGTGCTGTCAAGATGCTGAGATGTATTTACATATACACAAACACATATAGACACACAGAGCTACACAGACACATCGTCACATCCCAGCTGCCAACTCACTGCATGTCGCACACAAACTCCTATGTAATCCATAAAAAAAATGTTAAATCTCACTGCCTTCCAGTTTATATTGGTCCTTGTGTGAAAGTGTGTTTGTGACAGCGTATGTACGTGTGAATGCATGTGTAATCTGTGAATGTGAGCCTGTGTGTAATGTGTCTATGTGACAGTGTGGGAACAGTTGTATGTGCCTGAGTGGGGCACAGTAGATTGGGCCTGGGACAGTGTGTGATATTGCATGGAAGAATGTGACATGGAGTTTTATGTATGTGGGTATTACTAGCAGGAGAAGGGTATATGACAGAGTGGGACAGCTTGTGCAATTGCATACAGCAGGGTGAGTGTTACATGGCAGACCGGGTATTATGTCAAGGCAGGGGTGGATGTCAGGTTGCATATTATGACAGGGAGGGTGATGTCACTGGGTGAATTTACAAATATGGGAAAAGGACAGGACAGAAAATAGGTCTCATAAAGGGAAAAATCCAGCTGACAGAGCCTAACCCTAATGATAGATACAAAGAATGTTCAAAGAGAAAGGAACCAAGGGGTGTTGGATTACCCTTGAAAATGCAAGCATAGCATTAAAGATTAAGGGATCCCAAAGTGCCACCTCATGAAATTCTGTGTACAACACAAACGGTGATATATAAAAGACATAACCCTTACTTATATCCAATGCTAATGTATGGGAAAATCATTAATGCTAGGATAAGTAAGGTGTGGTGTGTCTACTAAATGTCTCTAAAAGAGGGGCAGATACAATGTTGAAGGATGATAGTAATTAAAATTCACAAATGAGGTAACATATTTATAAATGATCTTGAAATAGGCATTGAAAGCCATGTATCAGTGTTTGCAGATGACACAAAACTTTGTAAAGTAATAAAATGTGAGCAGGATATTGCTTTGTTGCAGAGAGATTTGGATAGATTGGGGGACTGGGCACTAAAATGGCAGATGAAATTTAACATAGAGAAATGCAAAGTTATGCACTTCGGGGTTAAGAATGCACAAGCAACTTACACACTAAATGGTAGTGAATTAGGGATAACCACACACGAGAAGGATTTGGGCATTGTTATAGACAACAAATTAGGCAGCAATATGCAATGTCAATCTGCAGTTGCTAAGGCCAGTAAGATTTTGTCATGTATAAATAGGGGCATAAATTCTCGGGATGAAAATATAATTTTGCCTCTGTATAAATCGCTGGTAAGACCACACCTTGAATATGCTGTGCAATTTTGGGCGCCTGTTCTAAAGAAGGATATCATGGCACTGGAGAGGGTCCAGAGACGAGCTACAAAATTGATAAAAGGAATGGAGCATTTTAGTTATGAAGAAAGGTTACAAAAATTAAATCTGTTTCGTTTGGAAAAACGGCGCCTGAGAGGGGATATGATAACTTTATACAAATATATTCGGGGCCAGTACAAACCTTTATCTGGAAATCTATTCATAAACAGGGTTATACATAGGACACGAGGTCACACATTTAGGCTGGAAGAAAGGAGATTTCATCTAAGGCAAAGAAAAGGTTTTTTTACAGTAAGAACAATAAGGATATGGAATTCTCTGCCTGAAGAGGTGGTTTTGTCAGAGTCCATACAGATGTTTAAACTGAAATTGGATAAATACTTACAAAAACATAACATACAGGGATATAATTTCTAATTAGTGGGGTAATAGCTGATTGATCCAAGGAGACATCTGACTGCTATTTTGGGGTCAAGAAGGAATTTTTTCCTAGTTTGTGGCAAAATTGGAAGTGCTTCAGACCAGGTTTTTTGCCTTCTTTTGGATCAACAGCAACAACATTTCTGAGGAAGGCTGAACTTGATGGACGCAAGTCTCTTTTCAGCTATGTAACTATGTAACTATGTAAGGTACAAATGGCTACTAGAGTTTAAACTGTATCAAGAGTGGGATAATGTACATAGGGTTATTACAAGAGTAGAAAACATACCCACTGTACGTGTATATCTTAAAGTTCCTGGGCACCCAAAAGAGAGTGGAAAATACTAACACAATCCGGATTACCAATCCTAATGTGCTAAATCACTCCATACAAACTGCCTATAGGTTATTTGTAAGGGATGAAACCTAAAATTCCCTTACTCCCAGTGACTCTCCACCATAGTAATACGCGCTAAAAGGCTCCAAGAATCAAATCCTATTGAGCTTAAAATGCCCTAATAATTGCTTCTAATTAATATGTACATCTAATTGCTAGTATGTATACAAAGGCAGTCCCGGTAACCTTCTATGCTTAAATTACTATACTCATAAGTTGCCAGTAGCTGTTGTATACCTCTATACAATACCTGGAAGAACTCAGTAACTCCCAATAATGCCCGCCATCCAGCACTGCCTCCTAACAATGAGACCGCTAATTTAAAAAAAAAAAAGTCACCCTTCGGTAACATAAATAAGCCCTAAGAAAACCACCCAAAATAAAGTGAGTCAAAAGGTGAGAGAAGCGTACAAGGCGCCCAACATGCGTTTCGGCGCTACTACAATGCGCCTTTGTCCGGGGCTAATGTCAAGACACCCTCCGCTCGTTAATTAGGTATGTGAAAGTGATACATACTCACTTTCTGTATACCTAGTGGCCATCTGTTTTTAATGTGTGCTACTTAGGGCACATGACCTCACTATTATTACAGAGTATCCATCTTATTTCTCCCAGATATGATGGATCTCTTTTTTGGGAGATTATAGTTTATGGTAAAGCGATTGCATTGTCATTTATAAACTAGAAGTAACAATACACATCTCAGACTCTGCAGGATGTAATAAATGCATGATCAAATCATAATGATCTAGGTATACTCCTGTGGGGAATATAACCATTAACATCTCAGAATCCTTACACTTTCACTATGCAACTAATTGGGGCATTTTAAGCTCAATAGTATTTGATTCCGGGAGCCTTTTAGTGTGTATTACTATGGCTGAGAGTCACTGCAAATGAGGGACTTTTGAGTTTCATCCCTTTCAAATGACCTATAGGCAGTTTGATTGGAGTGATTTAGCATATTCGGATTGGTAATCCGGTTCATGTTAGTATTTTTCACTCTTTTGGGTGCCCAGGCATTTTAGAATACACATCTACAGTGTTTATGTTTTTCTACTGTTGTAATAACCCTATGTACATTATGCACTCTTGATACAGTTTAAACTCTAGTAGCCATTTCTACCTCATTTAAGAGTTTACAAATACTATACAATAGCATTAACACACCATTTAATTGGCACCTTGGGTGGATGACCCCTAGTACACCACTGTTTAAGGATCACTATAGGGTCAGTAACACAAACCTGTATTTCTGACCCTATAGTGTGAAAACCACCATTTAGGCCCCTGGACCCCTCATGCCTCCATAAATATAGTAAAAATCTTACTCTATTCAAGCGTGAAGCTTTAACTATGCATGCTGTTAGACTCAGAAAAACAGACAGTCTGCTCACATCAGAAGTGGTAGCCTGATCCAATCACAATGCTTCCCCACAGGATTGGTTGAGACTGACAAAGAGGCAGATCAAGGGCAGAGCCAGCATGATTCAAACACAGCCCTGGCCAATCAGCATCTCCTCAGAGATACATTGAATCAATGAATCTCTATGTGGAAAGTTCATGCAGAGGGAGGAGACACTGAATGTTTGGATGCATTTTAGGCAGCCATGACCCAGGAAGGATCTCTAACAGCTGAGGAGTGGCCAGTGATATCACTAAACTAATGTGAACACTGCATTTTCTCTGAAAAGACTGTTTACAGCAAAAAGCCTGAAGGCACTGATTATGCTCACCAGAACAAATTCAATAAGCTGTAGTTCTGGTGACTAGTGTCCCTTTAACACTACTGAGGTTATTTCCACTATAGTTTACAGCTCTGGTGGTGTTAATATAAGACTTCACCCTGAATGTAACAAAACTAAAAATGAATATATAAAAAAAAAAAAAAAGTCCCCTTGCAATTAGGAGGCCTGTATAAAGTGCTTGAAGGGTAGGGAAATACTGACATCTACTGGGCTAATGTTTATTTACATTTTAATATATTTCCTACACAGTTTTACAGGGTTATTTGCTGGTAATGAAGAGTAAATGCGAAGTGAATTTCCAAATTTATGCCAAAATAGGCAAAATGAGAAACCCACAGAACAGAACAAGTTATGAAATGACCAATGAGAAGGGTGATGAGAGCTTACCGAATGCTTTGCACCATGGCCACTTCTAAAAGCAGAAGTGGTTATGATGTCGGGCGTAACATTTTTTATCATCTATTTGTTTTCTCAATACCTTCACGATATTGGCTAAAATGCTTCTCTATAAGCAGCTTTTCGTAAACTAGAAAGTTCTTGACAAAAAAAAAAAAAAAAAAAAAAAAACACAAAATTAATTAAGTTTTGCTATCAAGTAAGTTGCACAATAAAAAACAAGAGAAAACAGTAAAGCAAAGGAGGGATAAACATAGGAAAATCAGAAGTACTGTGATGACAGAAAAATATAGTAAACATGTTACTTTTGTGCTTCCTATAAGTGTTTTTTGGAGATTGTGTGTTCTGTATTTCTTTTTTAAACAAAAAAACTAATTAAAACAAAAAACAAAAACAGACAATGGACAGTTTTTATCAAGTTTATAGAATAAAGAATTCTGCGAGCGTGACATTGAACAGATTCCATGCTACACTTGGTCTTCAGGTTGTCCGGGCAATTATCGGGTACCAATTGTGACCTGCCATACTCTGATAAGGTTGTCTGTATATCCAGCGAAGAGAGTCTAGAGAAAAACCGAGTACAAGGATGAGCGAGTTATAAACTGAGGAGAATGAGCAGGTTACATTAAGAATAATTAGAATGTCTGCCCACTGCCACTAGATTTATATAGTTTAAATAGCTTATTTAAATGCCGATTTGATCTAGGTCAGTGTTGTAAGCTTCACTTTAATCCATGCAGTTCCATAATGTAGCTGTATAGTCTGTATTGTGAGAGAGTACAGATGCACTGGCAACCTTTTAACAAACCATATTTGTAAGTTCTACCTCTATACCAATTTAATACTATGTAAAATGAATCTACAAAATATACTGTAATTTTTTCCTTCGTGTGTAAGCTGGAATCATGAGATACAAACAAACATCAAAAGCAAGCAGGTATAGGAAAGACACTTACCTGTCCATCAGCTGACCAGGCAAGAGAGGTGCATTGTGGTGGTTCAGCTTTGCTGCTGGTGCTAATCACTTCCTGTTTCAACTCATCCACAATGATCTTGCCCTCCAGATCCTGGGTAAAAAAAAAAATAAAGATCTAGTCAAAATAGTTCAGAATAGTTTAAAATAGGCAAAAACCAAAGACAACAACTCAGTAACAGCCTCTGAGACTCATCAGTAAAATATCAGTTGGCATAGATTGAATACATCACTGTGCGGAAAGCTGGTGTTAACTACTCTAATAGGAGGATCATACATACCCAAATCTTGATGCTGGGCCCAGTGGCTGCACATAGCCAGTAACGGTTGGGGCTGAAGCACAGAGCGTTTATGATATCTCCACTGTCCAGAGTGTAAAGGTGTTTTCCTTCATTGAGATCCCACAGCATGGCTTGTCCATCCTACATGGAAAGATCTGTGAGACCATTACAGGAATACAAAACAGCCGTATACATCCAAATTAAAACAGACCGTAAAAAGAAACATTGTTGAAATTGCCAAATCCAAATATTGCAAGTATTCGTGGCCACTTGTGTAACACATAAGTGATGTGCAATTTGTAAGAGAAAACAAAACATACATTGGCAATAAGAAAGTGAAGGACAAACTTTGGAATACTGACTTAAATATTTAAAGTCACTGTTAACAGTGCCCAGGTTGTATTTAAAAAAAAAAAAAGAATAAAGAGGCATCTCTTACTACATGAATTTGATCAATCACAGCAGTTTCTGAATCTGCTTATAGAGTGTGATCTCGTACATACATGGCTTCGGGCTAAAACTTGCTTCAAGAGAGTGCGTTATGCTCTATAGCAGGGATTTACTGAAATGCTTACAGATTTTTCAAGTATAAACAAGGCAACTTCAGATGTAGTGGTTATGATGCCAAGAGTCCCCAGGTTTGGTCACACCATTTATAAACAATGACACTTACCTTGCTGTGTTGGGCATTCGTGGCCTGGTAAGGTGAATGCTCACATTTGCATCACACCAACTTATGAGGTTTAAACAACGGCTCTCAGCCAATGAATACTGTTTCAAGCTGGTATAATACAAAAGGAAAGTATGACCAGACAGACCAAACAGTACTATAAGTGTCAAACAGTTCAAAAGTGTTTTGTGGATTATTGCAAACAGCACATTTAGGGCACAGAATTCAGGCACCATAACCAAACACATTTAACTTTCCAAGAGTAATCCTTTAACCTATCTGGCACAAGCAAGACCAACACGCTCACAAGCTGCATGGCAGCATCATAGAAGTTTAATTTTTTAAGATACGTAACTCGCTACTGCAAGTTTAAAGAAACCATATACAAAGCTGTAGATACCACAGATCTCCAAAGACACAGCCAGACACATTTAAGACACCTACCCTCTTTCTCAAAGACTATCCAAATCCTCATCTCAGATGGCTTGTTGTAAACACCACACTTGCCAGAGCTACAAGCATTGCCTGGGATGAGTTACTAAAAATGTTGCGAAATGGACAAGTCTCTGTACAGTCAAGAAGCCTAGGACTATGATAGATTGAACTTTCAGATACTACTACAAGCATTCTTGTCCCACATAGAGCAGTCTAGAGCCATCAGAATGGAACATGTTACAGCCCTTTTAGTTTTTCTGAAGCAGACTTTCCTGTTGGCCCAGGGCTTGCCAACTGGATATTTCTAATGATCAGCCTATTCATGCATGTCCCATGTGCTGAATTCACGACTACCTTTGTGAAGTAGTGAGCGGCTTCCATTTTATTTCTGCTGCATGACGTTCTTAGGAACGGACTTAGGACTAATTCTTTGGGTACGACCCTTTTACAGCAGTTTAATGAAGAACCAAGTCAATGCATTCTGTGGGACTACTACAGCCATAGGCATCTGTTACACCTTAAGTAAGAAAAGGTTTGGAAATAGACCTCAAGCAGAAGCACAGTTAAAGCTCAGTTTTGGAATTATCAAAAACCACCACAAGACAAAGTCCACACTCGTGTATAAACTGCATGGTATTTTATAAAACAAATGCAGTAATCTTAGAAGAATGTTTATAGAACGAATGCTGCTTTAACCAGTTATAAAAAGACAGTCACAAGGTAAACACATTCCTTGCAACATGACATGTGAAGATTGCAGGCAGCCCAATCAGATCAACATGCAATTTTCCTAAAATCTAGGAGCCAGAGACTTTTTTTGCAACATTTTGCAGTCCCTCTGCTGCTGGCCATCAACCCCAATGTTTCTATACATCTCTTCACACACACTTACCAACATTTCATATGTGCCACTGTCTCACCAACCCCTAACACCGTATTAACAACAATAATCTCATGCTTCTGTAACCCTCATTCCTCATACCAGGAAAGATACATTGACATTTCTCTCGTTTTCAAGTATGTCCCGGGTCCACAAATCATTGCATTGTTACATCGCAATGTGCTAGTGATAGGACTTCACATAATGCACAATATAAATTCCCTGTCTTTGCTTCTCAGCTTTCTATTGATTTATCTCTTCAGTGTCAAACCCTGCATCCAGATCCCCTCATTATCCATCCCCAAAACATTGCTCTAACTAGAAGAATTATTTCACTGAACAGCAAGACAAAAAAAAAAAAAAGTCATATCCCCATGCCAAACAAAAGTAGCTTAATTCTGAGCTACATACTTAAATAAGCAAGGAGGTATAGCCACAAACCAAGATACAAGAACGTGGTTTGCAAGCTACCAATATGCACGCGACATGTCAAGAATTAAAAGTATTCTTGTGCTGGTATACATGCCTCGACTACTGGAGAGAGATTTAAAAAAAAAAAAAAAAAAATAGATCAAGAAAAGGCACATGAGGGTTATGTATACAGCTTTAAAAAAAATTTTTTTTTTTTTTAAAGTAACAAAAATTTAGTCACCAATGTAATGTGCCTGCTGGGTCCACTTATTTTTACAAGTGCCCCACATTTAGTACTTTAGACTACTTTTCAGAGCACGACATACATAACTTTCATTGTATCCATCCAATACCAGTGATCTTATGAAAAAAAGACATGCCGAGTGAACAGGCAGCTCTTAAAGCCCAACTCACAAAAGTTGTTAGGAGATTGTGGTATTTAAAGGACCACTATAGGCACCCAGACCACTTCAGCGCCACGAGAAACTGCTATGTTTACAAATGGGTTAAATCCAGCCTCTAGTGGCTCTCACTGAGCCACTAAAGGGGCTTCGGCAATTCTCACTGAAAAAAATAAAAAAAGTCAGTGAAGATGGACATCCATAGGAAAGCATTGAGAAATGCTTCCATATGGACTGTATGAATGCACGTGGCTCTTGTGCATGCGCATTTAGCGCTGACATCAGGAGGAGGAGAGTTCCCCAGCACTGGAGAAAGGTAAGTGTTTTAACCCCTTCAGCCCAGCGGGAGGGGGGCCATGAGGGTGGGTGGGGAGTGACAAAGACCCTATAGTGCCAGGAAAATGTTTGTTTTTCTGGCATTATAGCGCTCCTTTAAAGTTTTACTCAAACCAAAACCCAGTTTTCACAAAACACTTGTTAGTGCAAACCTTTAAAGATGGCCCATCTGGAGCCATCATGCAGACGCCAAAACTGACATTCATCAACCTGGAACTTAGTTCTGGGCTGGCTAATGGTGCTTCCGGAGGTGGCCTCCATAAGCTATGGGGTAGCAAAATGCTGAACATACACTCCAGTGGTCATGGTGCTTGGAGTAACCCATTAACACAAAGATACAAAAAGATCTAAGATGAAAGATTGGTGACAGTATAAAGCTCAGCAAATTTAAATATACTAAAAACATTTACTGCAGAGAAGGATGCACTATTTGTTGTAAAATGAGTGCATTGATAAATGAGGCAAACGGTGGCACTGTGATTCAAACATAGCTATGCGTGAATGGCATTTCTGTACCAGTGGAAATAGGAAAACTCTTGAAGTCGCCAATACATGCAATATAATAGTGCATATTAAATATATCATGTTTGGGAGACAAAATTAAGTCAGTAGTATTCAAATGCTTCATGCAAACATAATGAGCATGGGCCGTTTATGAAGATATTCTAGTATTTTGGTTTCATGACTAAATGACAGTGACCAAAAATATTAAACAGCTCAATGTAACTGCAGTCATGCAAATCTGATGTCCTTACCTTGCCACCAGAGGCACATAGAGATCCATCAGGTGAGACTGTTACGGTGTTCAAGAAGCCACTGTGGCCAATATGGTTGGTCTTCAGCTTGCAATTGGCCAAATTCCACACCTGAAGAGAACAATCACATTCAACACTGCAGTAAAAAAAGTCAAACTAAAGTCACTGGTTTCTACTAGCTAATGCCTTCCACCACAATCAAACACCCCTCTGCTATCTAGGAGAACATTCCATTAAATGCAGTGTCCTGGTCTTACCTTCACCATTTTGTCCCATCCGCAGGAGACAATGATGGGGTTGCTGCTGTTTGGAGAGAACCTGACACATGAGACCCACTCAGAATGAGACTCCTCCTGCAAGAGAAAAAACCACATTAGAAGATTCTATTCAGCTTGTATGTTTTGGCAGAGGTAAAATTAATTATGTTCCCATCATAATTGCAGGAGTGTCAGCTTGGGAGGAGCTATCTCTAAGAGACAGCCAGATTATTTTTCTCTATTCATAGGGAACAAATTTTGAATCCAGACAGGTGTTACAGTTCTTACCTGTACAGTGTATTTGCATACTCCCAGAGTGTTCCACAGCTTGATGGTTTTATCACGGGATCCAGACACGATCTGACGGTTGTCAGCGGAGAAAGCAACACTCAAGACATCTTTGGTGTGACCCACAAATCGTCTTGTGGTGGTACCTCTGCAGGGAAACATTTAGCACAATGACAAAGCTGCACAGTCAGCCTTTAAAGTAAGGTACCATTTCTTTGCATCTCCCCCTCCCAAGACCTAGCATCTCAGATACTCACGTAGTAAGATCCCACAGCCTTAGAGTACCATCCCAGGAGCCAGACAGAGCAAACTGGCCATCTGATGATATCACCACATCACTAACAAAGTGAGAGTGACCACGCAGGGCACGCTGAGGTACACCATAGTTGGTTTCATCACGAGTCAGCTTCCACATGATAACAGACTTATCTGTTAGAGGGAATAAATAAGGAGGGGTGTGGTGTTATAGATAGAACGTAAAATGTCAGCAACCAAGTTAAACAGGTCCAAAGTATTAAAAATTTTCCCAGCTATAACAAATGTCAAGGATACTATATAGTGGGGATCTATGCGTCACACCCCAATGTTGATCGCCTACACCTCCCAGAGTTCTTTGAATGCAGTAGACATCTACAGAATCAGGAGTTGTAGTGCAGTGACAGGTGGGTGCAGTTTAATGATGCACCAAGCTACTAAATGAACAAGAGGGGTGCATCTTACAAGCTAACACAGGTTTATGAATTAGACAAATTGTAGATTTAACCAATTTAATTACCACCATCAGCTATGCCAAACTGCTATATCATTAATCACAGTTAAAGTCAGATTACATATAAAGCTGCCATAATATAGACCAGATCATACATTCAAACACTGAGGAAATACAGTGTCCAATGAATGAATCTCTCCTGCAATGAACCAGACTGTTTAGCACTTGCCATATACACCCCCCATCTCCTACTGCACCATGAATATCACACAGAGAGCAATAATGTGTGCACAGTGCACCATGAATAATCACACAGAGCAATAAGAATAATAATATAATGTGTGCACCATGAATAATCACACAGAGCAATAAGAATATAATGTGTGCACCATGAATATCACACAGAGAGCAATAATAATAATAATAATAATATAATGTGTGCACAGAAGATTCTATTCAGAGAGTAATAATAATAATAATATTATTATAGGTGTTTGTAATAGTTTATCAGTCACCCCTGCCTTTCACACAGACACACATTTCCCTATATGAATAATGACTCAGTGATATAATAATAATAATGATGATAATATAATGCGGTGATATTATGTTTAATGAGATGCTGGGCTGTGTGTTGGGATTGCTGCTGGTATACACGGCTAGCTCACCCCGGGAGGAGCTGAGGATCATGTCCGGGAATTGGGGGGTAGTTGCTATTTGGGTAACCCAGCCATTGTGACCCTTTAGGGTCCCCCGAAGGGTCATCTGCTCCGTCATGGCTGTCCGGTATCCAGGAGCGCCCCGCCGGTGGCGGATGGAGACGGATTGGATAACCTGGGCCGACACAGAGCGGCGAAAGACGGAGAGCGGCCCGATCGATCTTTATATATGGAGCAAGAGGAGAGGGGCGTGGCGTCACGTCATCGCGTCACTGTACGGAAAACGTGTACGGAACTTATCGCCGCACACCGCATTCTGGTAATGTAACAGGACAGTGCGTGGGACGGAGCTACTGCACAAGCGTACACCGCCTTCGGCTTCAGACATTTTGAGCCGAATAGGCGTTAATTCAATTTTACCGTCATAACGCCAATAAAAAATAAAGCTGCCACACACAATATGGCGGCAGTCACTTCATCTGACGTACATGAACGTCAACGCGTAGCGTGATATGGAACGTAAGGCAACTGTCGCAAAAATGACCATTTCCTGTGTGCGGGAAATAAATGTCCGATATTGTTTAGTGGGACAAGGGAACACGGAGTTTTGTTCCGCGTATTCGGGCTATGTGCATATTAAAGGATGCTGCATGTGTACTGTGCTATTGATTAACAAGCTGAATTCTGTTTGTAGAATGTAGAACACAGCTCTACTGGATCATTAGGCTCCAGTTTGTTCTGCATCCTCTGGTTATTCACAAGAGTGTGCATTGTCATGAATTCAGAGAGATTTATTCATGAATGACCGACTTGTAGCGAATTGAAACTTGAATTGCAAAATGCAGGCTAAAACAGTCAAGCTGTTATGCAGCCAATTTGAAAAATTGTATTTATTTTTGCAGAATTCTAGATTCTTCTAGTTGACTTACGATGTCTGTATGTAGTACGGATATGTCATTAACATATTTTGTATCACATATACACAGACAGTTCAAGGCGACTGCATGTCTTTATCAGAAGTCATACATGCCGCAATCTTAGTGAACTAATACTGGACAGTTTCACTCATGTGGCTGTCACAGCCATCCTATGGCATGATTGACAGCTGATCCCAGGCTGCCGCAGTGCATGCTGAGATCAGCTGGTATTTGGCTACTGCTGGGCAATTCCACAAAGAGGCATTCTGATCGTAGTCCCTGATTGACTCTCAGGCCGAACAATCACCCTGGGAACCAATTAAAGGAGTGACCTGCCTTAATGGTCAGTTATTGTACGTCATTACTGTGATTGGCTCCAAGAGGAATAAACAACCTCGAAGTCAAACTATTAAACTGCATAATTGGTGTTAAGGGAGGTTTAAAAATAGCGTCAAAGTGTGATGCTGGTCAGTATTGAGATACAGATAGCGTCGTCACCAAATAGCGTTTCTGGCAAGCAAGTAAAGAGGCATGTCACAATGAGTGCACGTCTTTAATGTGACCCAATGAAATTGCCCCCAAACGTGGCAAAGATATAAATGTGAGGTACTGCTGTATTTGGTGGTAGTAGCAGAATGCAAATCGTGAATCTTTACAGTAATTGGACATTCATAGTCTGCAAAATTAAAGGAAGACTGTAGTCACCAAAACAACTTTAGCTTAATGAAGCAGTTTTGGTGTATAGAACATGCCCCACTGCTCAATTCTCTGCCATTTAGGAGTTAAATTGTGATGGAATTTCGGTGAAATGTAAGTTTAGTAGGCCGAGATTTCCACGTGGCATATGTGTATGTTGTATCAGTTTGTTAGTTACACGTAGCTAAGATACTGTCATCAATGTACTGAGCATGTGCAGGAATGCAGGAACTGAAATCACACTCCTTTCTCTTTTGTTTCGGATGAGCCATGTGGTCTGCCCATATAAGGAAATCCAAATCCTGTCCACTGATTGGAGCGGGTGGAGCTATTAATGGGAGGAGTTATAGTTCTATAAAAAGCATGTAATCTATGTGTTCGGCCCTCAGACCTGTTTTGGAACGTTAGTTCATCTGAGACCCGATCGGTATGTTAATAAAGACCTCTTACTTCCTGAAAACCTGCATCCATCTCTCTGTGTCTGGCTTCTGCAAGTTTAAAGGACCACTATAGGCACACAGACCACTTCAGCAGTGGTCTGGGTGCCTGGTCCAGCTAGGGTTAACCCATTTTTTCATAAACATAGCAGTTTCAAAGAAACTGCTATGTTTATGAATGGGTTAAGCCTTCCCCCTAATCCTCTAGTGGCTGTCTCATTGACAGCCACTAGAGGCGCTTGCGTGCTTCTCACCGTGATTTTCACAGTGAGAGCACGCCAGCGTCCATAGGAAAGCATTATGAATGCTTTCCTATGTGACCGGCTGAATGCGTGCGCAGCTCTTGCCGCGCGTGCGCATTCAGCCGACGGGAGGAGAGAAGGAGGATCGGAGGAGGAGAGCTCCCCGCCCAGCGCTGGAAAAAGGTAAGTTTTTACCCCTTTCCCCCTTCCAGAGCCGGGAGGGAGGGGGACCCTGAGGGTGGGGGCACCCTCAGGGCACTATAGTGCCAGGAAAACGAGTATGTTTTCCTGGCACCAAAGTGGTCCTTTAATCGGTTACATCTTTGGTGCATTGGGTCCGGGAACCTCATCGCATGGAAGCTGGCGCAGAGATTTGAGACGGTAAACTTTTTACCAACGTTCTCTATGGCAGCACCCCTGAACTTCTGCGTGGACATCGTAGTAAGTACCGGGGTGCACCGTCGATGAGTGTGAGCCCAGGTTCAGGAACGAAGAGGTAAGACTGATACCGTTAGAGCGGTAGCTCACAAGAGGTTTTATATTTGGAACCGGTTATTGGATTGCCCCCTCCCTTTGGAGGGCAGAAGCGAAGGCTCACCGCTTATCTGGAAATTAGACGCTCTGTAGTCAGCCCTTCTAATATAGGTGGTTTGGGTCAGGCTAAATCTTGGTGTAAATAGTTTATGCCGGACACCGGTGTCCTGTCTTGACTAGCGTGTCTAGGTGTAAATTTCGGTCGCTAGGTCGGGGAGGCCAGCGAGACAAAGCAGATTCTGGTGTACATTCCGTCTGCTAGTTCTCAACCTATCTTGGCTAAGTATCCCCTGTTGTAAATTCAGCCACTAGACTATTGATAGAGTAGATAGACTAAATGGGTACTGTTGTAAATTCCGCCCACTAGTTCGCTATATGTGGTGCTTGGGCAGCGTAGACTAACCGAATCCTGGTGTAAATAGTTCGATAGTTCTCGAGGTGCTGGCCAATTAGAATAGTTGGGATTATTGTTAATGTTGTTAAATATACTGTAGTTGGTGAATTGTATGTCCTGCTAGAAAGCTTGAGCTCTGCTGTCTAGTGGGAGTGTAAATTGTGTGTATACTGTATAATAGCGCACGGTATTATAACCATTAACATGTACTACAACTACTGACATTGTGTAAAAATTACTAAAAACTGTTGTCTTATGTTATATGTGTAATACCATAACTGTTACTAACTGATCTGTGACTTTAAAACTGTATTATAACCACTTGCTAACCGCACCATAACCACTGATTGTAAAGATGAGGTTACTAGAATGTGATATAGTTGGTTAGCTAAAAGTTGATTTATAATGTGGATAATTGTAGGGTTTGATTTATACTTACAGAGATAAGTATCTAGCGTTTGGTAAATCTTTGTGAGTGAGACGTCGTGATATCACTGTATGTACGAGAATTCTCTGCGTGTTTTCGTGTTTGTGTGTGTTTGGCCTAGCAACTGTGCCATGTGGTGCTGTTGCCAGGGAAACAAGTGTGTTCGATGGAAGTGTGTTTGGGGTATTGAGTTTCTTTGTATTAGACGCTCCGTTGCCAGTATGGGTGCGTCTGACTCAAAGATTGTTGATCCCTTGTCGTGTATGTTGAAAAACTTTGCAAAGGGATATAAAGTTTGTGATTTTGGGATGAAATTATCCCCAAAGCGTTTGACTACATTATGTAGTAAAGAGTGGCCTATCATGGTGACCGCATGGCCTCCACGTGGTAGTCTTGATCCAACTCTAGTACAACGTGTGCACGCGGTTGTATCTAGTAGGCTTGAATTCTATGATCAGGCTCCTTTCAGCCCAGCCCGCAACATCCTGTTGACTGAACTTCCGCCCGGTAAAATTAACCCGCCTCATTCTCCTTACCTTACTCCTTACCCCTAGACTGGAACTTACTATAAAACAGCCTTTTGGAAGTCCTATATTAACCCGACAGATGACCTTCAACCCCAACATTACCAAATGCCCCTCCGACTTACACCGGGCCCAACACACGTTGACGAAAATGGCCAAATACAACGGGCAGATCCAGTGTTTGTCTATGTCTCCTTCACCACAACTGATCTATGGAAGACTCATAACTCTTCGTATACCGACAAACCTCAAGTCATGACAGATTTGGTTACCTCTATTATACAAACACACAATCGCACCTGGGCCGATTGCCAGCAATTATTATTAACTTTAATTGTGAGGAAAGGACCTGGATTAATCAAGCGGCTATTAAAGCGCTTGAGGAAATGGCCCGTACTCAAAATCAGGCTAATCCAGCTGCATGGGCTGCAGCCCATTATCCAAATGTTGACCCAAATTGGAATGTGAATGGTGCTGACATGCCCCAATTAAGGGCTTATCAGGAAGCCATTATTGCTGGCATGAAGGCAGGAGGGAAGAAGGCAATCAATATGTCAAAGACGGCTGAGGTGTTGCAAAAGGTTGATGAGTCAACTAGTGCCTTTTATGAAAGATTATTTGAGTCATATAGATTGTATACTCCTCTTAATCCAGAGGCCCCTGAGAATTCTCGAATGATTAATTCAGCATTTGTCAGCCAGGCCCAAGGTGATATTAAAAGAAAATTGCAAAATTTAGAGGGATTTGTAGGGATGTCCATATCACAACTAATGGAGATCGCAAATAAAGTATATATGAATAGGGAAATTGAGATAAAGCGGGAGGAACATAAAATGAGGAAGAAGGCAGATATGCTAGCGGTAGCTATCACAAGTGTAGAAAGACAGGGAAGGGAGGTGAATAAAGGAGTCAAGAATAGGCTGAGTAAGGGACCTTTAAGTAGGAATCAATGTGCGTTCTGTAGAGAGGAAGGACATTGGAAGAATGAGTGTCCACAGAGAGAGCATTATGAAAATAATAGACAAGGACAGAGAAGAGTACGGGGGGGTTATAGTGGTAGTTATAGAGGAAGAGGAAGTTTTGGAGGGAA